ACAATAAAGTTTTTGAAAAACTGTTGGGCCTATTTTAAATCGCCTGATTGATTGTGGACGCAAATTCGTATCAAGAAAAGATTAAATTAAATCGTATCGATACAATCCCGGTACCGATTCCCTATGTCTTAGTCTCCGTCTGTAGTCCAGATGCTGCCCAGATGATGTCCATTTGCATTGTATTGCACGATTCAAAGTTCCGAACTGGTAAAATATTACTACCTACTTGTTTAGTGATTTTCATCGGGGACAATTGTTAAACCAGATGTTGAGCGGATATTTTCTAAAGAAGGCAGGGTCAATTTATGAAAAACGCTCAAGATTAAATGCAAATAAAGTGTCACAACTATTATTAATAACATTTAATGCAATAATATGTTCTATTATGTGTTATTTTATTTTGTAACAACAAATTATCAATATTTAGATATCTATTTTGTAATCTTTCATATTTAACATAAAATGATAAACATCATTACTGTTTCGTAACAATATATAATAAATATGTTTTGAATTTAATTGAAAAAATATTTGAGTTTATCTCGGTTATTTCAGAAAACATGGGTTCCGTCTTCTTAATTTCTATCCCGCAACGCATTCTTGGTGTTAAGACGATACGAATCTCCCTTCAGCTTATAGTTGCAAAATATGTAAAACGAATTTATTAGGGCTTATTTTCAATGATTAATTGTGTTTACCCCGCATCAAAATTATTTTTTTTCCCTTCATATACCCTTTGATTCCTTTACGATTAAATCTTCTCAATTTAGTTAAATTTTTTTAGCCTTGGATTAGTTCAGTTTCAACGATTTTGTGGTAAAAAAGGAGCATTAAGAAATAGATCAACTCAAAGTAGCTTTCATCAACCACGAACTAGTGCTGCACGTCAAAAATTAAAGCAAATAAGAAATTACGACAAAAAATACAGAAACTCAAGAAGAAGAGTTTACATAAACTCAAGAAGAGCAATATGTACAACATCTCGTTAAAAAATGTAAAATGTGGCAAATAAAAGCTTGTAGCTTCTTGACCACTTGATAAAACTCTCAGTTCCGTTGCAGGAAAAATGTTGATGACCTTATTATTTTCAGAATTTTTCAGTTTTAGAAAAGTTACTTTTTTTTCTAAACGCTCAATTTTCCAAAATTTCACTTAAGGTAATTCCCGCGAAAAATTGTAACATAAATTTTATTAGAACACTCGCCTCCTTCGTCGTTTTGTAAAAAGTTTTGTAATCCGTTTCTACGAATTTGGGACAAAAATCGTATAATTGTTTATCAAACAAAAAACAGAATAAGCAAATGTTTATAATAAATTATTTGGAAAACTCGACACCCCCATGCCTCTGAAGACTACAGAGTTTGCTAAAAAAACTGTGTTTTTTAAGATTTTACAGAATTTTTTTTGTTATTCTTTCCACTCAAAAACGCTCTTTTTTGTAGAGTTTCAAACTCAAACTTCAACAAAAACGAAAATACATTTGTTCTGTTTTTTTCCGAAAATCGTTAAAGTTTTCTCAAAAACCGAACACAAAACTAAAAGTTTTTATGCAAACGCGTAAAAAACCGTTATTTTCTGATGATTTTCTGACAATCATGGGGTTTTTTCAGAAAAAATTAAAGAATTAATTTTGTTCGAATATTCATCGCTTCGTAGGGATTTTAGAAAACCCTTTTCAGCTTTGACTTTGGCACAAAAAGTAACTAATTAGTTTTTTACCGAAAGTAGTTAAAATTATCTTTAAAAAACAACCAGATTGTTTGAAAAAAAATTTGTAACATTCGCCAGCCTCATCGTTCTGAAGATTTTTAAAGTTTCATTAAAATTTCAGGTCCTTCCAGTTTCTTTCGACTCAAAAAGCGCATTATTTTCTAAAGTTTTACTTAAAAATACTGACCATCTTCAGGCGTTTTTTGTGAAAAATTATAAATGACATTTTATTTGCAACACTCGYCTCCTTAACCGCTTTGTAAAAAATTTTCGGAAACCTTTTGCWATTTCGAAWTTTTGACAAAACCCTAATAATTTTTTCTGGGTTTTTTCCCAAAAATGTTTCCCCAAGCAGAAGAAGCGAAAGTTTATAATCAATTATCTCATCGCTCCGAAGAATTTTCAAGGTTCTTCAAAACTTTTTTCAAAACCAGTTTTTTCCGTTTTAGACCAAAAATACGATATTTTCAAACAAGAGTTTCTGGGAAAATGTTGATGACCTTTAGTCAGCAACATTTTCCCATAGCATAGCAAATTACGACAAAAAAATACAGAAACTCAAGAAGAGTTTACACAAACTCAAGAAGAGCAATATGTACAACATCTCGTTAAAAAATGTAAAATGTAGCAAATAAAAAGGTTTTTTACATTCGAAAGGAAATAAAATAAAATTTTACCTATTCCTGATCCATTTATAAATTATTAGACTAAACAAGAATATTAAAATTATAAAATAAAATTATTACTCCCATCATGCGTTAAACAAGTTCAATATTTTATGGTTTCTATTAATTTATGAAGTTATCACTTCTGTCGAGCGTCCCGTGACGCACATTTTTTTTTAGTTTTTCAGAGCGAATCGGTTCAATGAAGGGCAAAAATGAGGTTTTTTGGATCTTCACACCAAAACTTTACTGATAAACCAAATAGCCCGAAAGGGTTTTTGAACGTTCCGGCCATCTCTTCTATTTATGGGATGGTGTGAAAAAATCATCCTTTTGGCTCAATTTTTACGATCATGAGATCATATGATCAACATATGTTGAAGCTGAAACTTCATAGACAAGTTAAGAGAAAATGCAATATACCTACAGAGTTGCATAAAAAAATACCCAAATCACAATTGCTCCCGAAATCTGTGATTCTGGAAGGTTTGCAATTTACAACCCGGTAAGTATATAGATTTTTTTCTGAAGTCGACTGTAAAGTTTTCGCTTTCTTTAATATGAGCCCTATATTTTGAATATCTGTTCAAAAGAAAAGTCACTGAAAGAAAAAAATCTAAACAGAAACAGCATCACAAAGGATCGGACCGCAGCTCTGTATGATCCTTGTATTCCATCTAAAAAATGTAGGTGGACTTTTTTAGGAAAATATCGCACCGGATACTCTGCATAGCAGAAATTCACTTAAGAATTAGAATCCGAGGTGGTAGTTTGAAAAATGCACTAGCATAAATGTACAGGGTGTCGCAACTTACTTTACTCCATCGTTGGAACACCCTGTATCATAGAAGTAAGAAAACTCCAAAATTACCTTCATCCATTTGCTCAAAAACATCATATCCTTGGCACTCCCGTCCCAATCCCACAACCACAACAGAACTGAACTCCTCATCCAGATTAAAGTAAACTCGCACTTGCCCTTTGCCAGGTGGTTTTCCGGCATATTGCAAAAGTTCATACAACCTACCGCATACCATCGCATTGTACCTTTCACCTGTAGGTGTGAGTTTTCCAGGATCGTAAAGATCATCGGGATTGGTGTAAAGTCCCAAAACTAAGCCCTTCATGCGATTCGTTTTGCACGGTTGATCCGTATCCGGAGGTGGGCATCCGGGGGCAAGTGGCGGAGCGGATGGGAGTCGTCCAGCCCCTAAAGCATCCGCAAAGGTGCGCTTAATGACTGTGATTCCGCATATTTGTGGGTTTTTGCCGAGAACTGCGCGCAAAAGAGCCATTCTTCGTCTGGTTACCGCTTCTTAGATCATTACTCACAATTTACTTAAATTTTTGTTGAAAAATTTGATTAATTTGTCAAAAAATTGCAAGTTGTTTTTGTTTGGAGCGGTTTCTTTAGAGACACCGATTTGTCATCAGGTCACTTGTGAATATACACGTAAATTCAAGTTTATAGCGGGATTTACAAAAGATAATTTTTAATATGAAGAATAGGCCACCAGGTGAATATGCAGGACGTTAAATATTTACTGAAGGAACTGAAATTTGCTAATATTTCCATGTCCGTGGATAACTAAAAATACGCCTTCTATTAACTCCATCTTTAGAACCGTTATATGAAACGGAAAACGTGTCTCATTATAGGATTTTTAGAAATTTTAATTTTGGTCACATATTTTGCCTTCAATTACTCGCACCAGATAAATAACAACAATTATTGACAAAGAAGCTCCGCCTTTGTTTTTTTTTAGTGAAATTGAACTCATTGTCTGCTTATTTTACTGCTTTTTTCACTAGCATTTCTACTTCAAAATCTGAGTTTTGTTATTGAAATCAGATTATCTTCTTATTAGGTTGCTGTGGTGTTTTTACCGATTATTACATTTGCCAAAAAGGTCCGCTCTCTTAGGAGCCGCACCTCTAGGCGCTAGAAGGAGCGGCTGCATTTAATGCAATTCACTTTAATGTTTCTACTTGAAAATGTGAGTTTTTTATTGAACTCAATCTAATTAACTCTTTTATCTGCTGGTTTTCTTAAATTTTTAGCGATTATTACATTTATATATATAGAAGCTATATCTGGAGGCGTGGCTAAAAGTAATAACTACAACTCCGTCTGGAACCGCACCCTGCCGATTTCTTTCCATTACCACAGTTAATCAGTTATAACTCGTTGGTTACTGTGTTAACAGTAATTTATTAAAGCGGATTAAAGCTTTACAAGACCCGAAACTGGAATTTTAACATCTACAAAACGGGTCATCAACATTTTGTATGAGTAACGTTTTACCACATTAGCCAAACAACTAAAAAAAAAGAAAAGGTCATCAAAACTTTCCCAGCAACGTTTGTTTGAAAATATCGTATTTTGGTTTGTGCCCTAAAACGGGAAAAACTGGAAGTTTTGAAGAGCCTTAAAAATTGTTCAGAGCGATGAGGGTGACGAGTTTTCCAAATAATTGATTATAAGCTTTCGCTTATTTTGGTTGTTAGAGAACAAAACTAAAAATTCGAAACAGCAAAAGGTTTTCGAAAAAATTTTACAAACCGATTAAGGAGGCGAGTGTTGCAATAAAATTTCATTTATACTTTTTCACGGAAAATGCCTTTCACGGAAAAAGATTATCAGTATTTTTAAGTAAAACTTTAGAAAATAATCTGTTTTTGTGTCGAAAGAATTGCGTAAAAAAGACTTTGTTAAAACTGGAAGGACCTGAAATTTTAATGAAACTTTAAAAATCTTCAGAACGATGAGGGTGGCGAATTTTGTAGCTTCGCTTGTACCAAGCTTGTACTCTGGTCGTTTTTTGAAGATAATCTTAACTACTTTCGTTAAAAAACTAATTATTTGCTTTTTGTGCCAAAGTCGAAGCTGAAAAGAGTTCTCTAAAATCCCTACGAAGCGATGAATACAAGGCGAATTTTCTAACAAAATTAATTCTGAAATTATTTTGCTGAAATGACCCAATGATTGTCAGAAAATAGCGGTTTTTTTACGCTTTTGATTAAAAACTTTTAGTTTTGTGTTCGAATTTTGAGAAAACTCTAATGAGTTTCGGAAAAAAACGGAACAAATTTATTTTCGTTTTTGTCCTGAATTCGAAGCTGAAAAAAGTTAATGTAAAATTTCCACAAAACTATAAATTTATATGCTAATTTTTCGCGTAACAGATTTTCAGATTGGCAGCATTTTTGAGCGAAATTCTAGAAAATAGAGCGTTTTTAAGTGGAAAGTAAAGTAGAAAAAAATTCAGTCAAATCTAAAAAAACACAGTTTTCGAACAAACTCTATAGCCTTCAGAGGCATGGGAGTGACGAGTTTTCCAAATAATTTATTACTTTCGCTTATTCTGTTCTTTGTTTGATAAACAATTATCCGAATTTTGTCCCAAATTCGAAGCTGCAAAGGGGTTTCAAAACTTTTTACAAAAGCGACTAAGGAGGCGAGTGTTAAATAAATTATAAAATAATAAAATCTATTTTATAATTTTTCGCGGAAATTACCTTAAGTGAAACTTTGAAAAATTGAGCGTTTAGAAGAAAGTAACTTTCCTAAAACTGAAAAATTTTGAAATTTTGAAGAAACTAAAAATATTTTTAATAAATAGCCCTCAAAATATACAACGAAAAATAGTCATCAATATTTTCCCAGCAGCAGAACTGAGTTACTGCCCCGGGGCGTTGGGTTGGCGCACCAAGCAATTTGCGCTGCTCGGCGCCAACTCCTAAAAATTAACTGAGTTACCCAGGCCTACTTTCCATATAACTTGAACGTTTATTTTTGAAAATGCGAATCGCTTTATTGCAATTAATCTAATCATCTACTTAATATATAGCTTTTTGTATTTTTAACGGTCATTATATTTAGCAAGGAAGCTCCGCCTGGGGCGTGGCTAAATTCAATAAGTAACTTTCCTCTGGAATCGCACGCATCGGCTGTTTTTTGAAATTACAAACATTTCGTCTAGAAAATATAAGTTTCTTCAATGAAATTAATCTAATTATATGCTTGATCTACTGCTTTTTCATTTTTGACGATTAGGTAGGTACTACATTGAACAGGAAAGCCTTCGCAGCCATCGGTTATTTTTTCAAATAACTTCAGTTCAATAATAAATCTCAATAATCAATAATTCAAATAATCTTCTTGAAATATAAATTGTTTTACGTCCTTGACTGAACCAGAAAAAGAAGAGAAGCGCCTGTCGCTCCAATACCACCATAAAAAAGATTTTTTCGGTTGAAACTGTCTTCTTGTGGTAAAGCCTTTCTAACTTATAAAATGCATTTTTGTATATAAAATGTCGAACACCTTAAGAAAGCAAAGCCCAAAATTGCCTACTACTGACCAGTGCGATGGCCGGATTAATACATTCTTTCGAGTCTACTTTAAAATTCATTTTTGGGAATTTACTTTGGTATGGAAAAGTAGTGAATTTCAATGAATGAAAAGTGATCAAAAAGCGCATTTCCACAAAAGAACTACTAAGAAAAGTTGTTGAAAAGATTTGATCTATAAGGCTCCCATGGTCAAAGAGTAGGTAATATTACCTATTCTTAGGCATAGTGCTTAGAAGATCAGGGCGTGAGAAGCTAGAAAATTACCATTTAGGGGATAATTTCAAACTTTGTCTTTAGTAAAGGAATTAAGATAAAATGCAGTCGAGAATAATCTACTACTAAAGTCTACATTATTCTTATTGCAGCACAATATGTGCAAAGGTCTCAAAAACTGGGTGCATATGGCGTATTGTGACCCATAAAGAATGCCGATGCATTCAGGGAAGTTTCAAAAAAGTGATGTTTGGCAGGCAACACATTATACAATTCTCCTCCTCTAGTGAAAAGAAATGTCTCAAAGACATTTGACGTGATTCCTGGATTATTGGTTAAGTTTCTTTTAAATGCATTTAATTTCCTCGTAACGCTAATTCTCCCTTGATTCTGGTGCTAAATCTACCAGCATAATGTCCGGCTATCACAGGATCTCCACGTTAAAGAATTGCCTTAATTCGTTAAAAGGTGTAAAGGTATTTGCCTCAATTTGGGATTTGTTGGTTAAGTTATATCACAATTTTTATTATTTTATTAGCACATTAACAAACTGAACGATGTTCTGAGCAAGAAAATCGACGCTGCTTGCAGCAAGAGGAATTCAAGTGGAAATCTGACAAAATTTAAGGTATTGTGGCGATTCATGTTTACACCTTGCAGAGTCCGAAATAGTATCACTTTTACCCCTTACAATTCGTTATCGGAAGCTCTGGGAATCTTATACAGTCGTTTTTTAGGAACTGAATCAGGTGCTTACCAAAGAGTTCAATACTGCAGCAGAAAAGCTGAAATCTAATCCGCTACTTGCTGTTTCAAAAGTAAGTTGATTTCATTCTGGCTCAAAGCAAAGAACCCCACTCATACTAATTTTCGTACACTAATAATAGCACACCCAATTTTCATGTAAAAGTTCACACGATTTTTTGCTACTGTAGCCAATCCCCAACAAATACTTGATGCGCCTAAACCCCTGGAGTTCGAACTTTCGTCATAATATACAGAATAAAATTCTTCATTTGCAATTAACTATTTTCCACTAACAAAAAAATTAAAAAAACCGTAGACCAAAAATCTATTTGCATTAATAACCCTAGTCACGTACCTTGCAGCAGGTACATTATTTCTGAACATTGCAGAAAAATGTTAAATATTATGTAGGAAGCAGCACAAAACTGCAAGGATAAACTGGAGCAAACATGCAAGCCTTTATATCTGCTGCCCGATATGATTGAGGAGAAAAAGGAAGTGTATAAGAAAAAGGTGAACTTGAAAGAATGATCTTCATATTTGATGATTACAAAATTTTCCTTAGTACTTGAAGTCAAAGCACATTAAAAAAGAAGCCCAGAAGCTTTGCCAATTCTTATCGAAACGCTCCGCGTATCGTGCAGCTGCCCTCTGGACAGCCCCAGCCATATCTTTGATGGAGGACAAGCCTGCAACCGTAGGTAATAATATTGGATTTTGGATTGGATACCACGGGTAAACCACTTGGAGTTAACGAAATATTTTGACTTACGTCTAAGTTGCGGGATTAATCTTATTTTAGATGGAAATGTTCCAGGTTAATCAAATGCTACGCGCCGGAAATCTATTACGCAAAAAAAACGTTCTTTGAGTTCCGAAGCTGTTGAGAATTTGTTGTTATAACATTTTCCACCGCCTGGGTTTTATCAGAAATTCGTATGTATAGGATTTTTTTATTTTATTTAACCAGCATACATACATACATGTAAATAATATGATCTAATATTTAATATTTAGATTTGAGCTAAATATTAAGACCCGCACTCATTTAACATTTTTGCATTTTGTGTGAGAACTAGTTCATGAACTTATATTTTATATAAAAAGTGCGCATTTCAAGGCTCTATCGCGCAATGACAATTGGAGCTTCGCAGCTGCAGCTCAACCGGTTCTCGAAATTTAAGCTAAAGAAGGCCCGCAAAAATTTTGAATTTTTGCGTGAAAACTAGACATTCCTAATGATAATAATTTGAGCCAATGACTAAGATCGTTTTTCAAAACCCGGATTAGTATTGAATTTTTGCATTTTGCGTGAAAGCTAGACGCTCCTTAAATTATGTTTTATACAAAAATAGTGCACATGTGAAGACTCTATCGCGCAATGGCAATTAGAGCTTCGCATCTCAACCGGTTCTCTAAATATGAGCTAAAGACTAAGAGCGGTTTTCAAGACCCGCATTAATTATTAATGTTTGCATTTTTCGTGAAAACCAGATACATTCCTAAAATGATCTTTTATATAAAAAAAAGTGTGTATGTTCAGGCTCTATCGTGCAATGGCAATTAGAGCTTTGCGGCTGCTCAACTGGTTCTCAAAATTTGAGCTAAAGACTGAGCGGTTTTCAAGACCCGCATTAATTTTCAATTTTTGCATTAAAACTAGACTTTATATAAAAAAGTTTTATCTGAAGCGATACCCAACCAATGGGAATCAGGGAATCAATTATACAGTAAGCGTGACGTTTTATTTAAAAAAATATTATTGTTTCGAGGAGAATTGAAAAATATTTGCACTAAATAGCCATTATTTTTGCGGAAAAACTGAATGAATTGAATTAAGGAAAGCAATGTACATACTTTTATAGAGTGGTTTACCCTTAGTTTCATGAGTCTGTTTTACCGTTTCTTACTTACTTTATTGTTCTTTGCTGCTGGAAATTTGTCAGATTCCAGTTTTGCTTCAGTGCTAAACAAACAGCTTCCTGAACCAGGTACAGATAATTTTAAATATCTTTAAACTGGAGATTTACTGACCGAATAAATACCCATTGAAGACATACCTCGCATAAACCCAGTATTATATTTCTCAATATTATAAATACACGGCAGAGGAAAATTATTTGCCTAACAAATGTGGAAAGTTGAAAAAATCACTATCACCCAGATTCTGAAAACCATCTGGGTGTGTGTACATAGTGTGTACACACAAATGCAGGAGTTGAATAAAAACTTTTGCAGAATCTGTAGGTCTGCAACAATTCGTATACGTGGAATTTTAGTCAAAACATAGTAATTTTTTATTTTAAACTCGTTTTAAGATGTAAATTTTGCTAAAATATAAATGCTTGTTATGACAATTTACTTTTTTACACGCAGCAATTCCTGATATTGTCGCCAAAAAAAACTTAATCATCGATAGTAGCTCGGACTACTTCGTGGTTAAAACAGGCAAGTATGGTAAGCATTTGCCCAATGTGTTGGAAAATATTCTTAATTATTTTTTGCAATTGGTGCAGCTGTAGAAGAAGCTGATTCGTCGAAACTAACAGGTAGATGCCCCCCAAAACCCGTTTCCTATAATTTCACATGGAGAAAGTCATTTTTATTTTAATCAAGTTATTTTAATCAATTTTTTGCCAGTCCTGAGAGAAACTTTATTCAATAAAAGGTGTAACTTCTAAAGTCTAAAGTAAAAGAGGATTTGTAGCACAAGCTTCGCCAGATGCAATACCTGAACCGCCACTCATACCCGATCCTACAGCAGAAGCCCTGAGCAATTTAAATTCCCTTGGAGAAGCGACGTTTGAGTCCTTAGGGCTGGGAGGCTGGACCCCTGTGGGAATAGTGCAACAATGCATGGAATTTCTGCACGTTAGCTTTGGCATTGATTGGTGGCTTGCAATTGTGATAGGTGAGTTTTTAAATGGCTTGGCAAATAAATACTTAACTTTTAAGAGCGTGACTCTATATTAGCAAAAATGCAAATTTCACATTGGCTTTCTACTCGGATATGAGTTTGGCAAGAAGAAGCAATGAACATTTTCATAAAAAATACATTTTTAGGCACCTTTGTGATTAGAATTTGTATGTTTCCTTTGGTAATATTGGCGCAAAGAAATGCCGCGAAAATGAACAACTGTATGCCGCAAATGCAGCTGTTGCAAATGAAGATGACTGAAGCGAGGCAAACAGGTAGGAAAGCCCAATTAGTTTAATCTCCTTAGTCCTGCACTTTGACTCACTCTAATAGGGGACGCGATGAGTGCGGCGAGATACAGCCAAGAACTGATGCTGTTCTTGAAGGAACGCGGTGTAAATCCTTTAAAAAACATGCTGGTTCCACTTGCACAGGTGAGAATTTCCAATTGACTGTCTGGGTTCATTACATGCAATGTTTCTTGTTTCTTCTTTCCAGGCGCCAATTTTTATTTCGTTTTTCATGGGACTTCGCGAGATGGCCAATGTCCCAGTGGACAGTCTAACACATGGTGGGATGCTTTGGTTTACTGATCTGACATTGCCAGATCAGTACTTTTTGATGCCGTGTATTACTAGTTTAACTCTTTGGTTAACTATTGAGGTACACTAAAAAATCTCATTGTAGTTGCGTCAATATTTAGTTGTTTTTTTTTCAGGTCGGTGCGGACACAGCAAAACTGGCTAGCCAAAATGGTGTACTTATAAAATATGGCTTGCGTGCCCTCCCACTGGTCATTTTACCTTTTACCGTCAATTTCCCTGGTGCGATTTTATGTTATTGGGTATCGACGAATTTCATTTCACTGCTCCAAGCTGCATTTTTGCGAATTCCCAAAGTGAGAGACCATTTTAAAATTGAGCGCCTCATGAGTTTCACTCCTGACCAATTACCAGTTAAGCCTAAGGGATTCACAGAAGGAGTCAAAGACTGTAAGTTACTTTACTTTTGTCTATACATATAAACACAGTTCGGGGACAATTATTAATTATTGAACACGTTTTACGCTCGAGTCTTAAATGGTAAATTTCAGCGTGGACCAACATAAAAATCACACGGGAACTAGAAGAACGACGCAAATTAGATGAGCTTCAATTCCAAAGAGCTGGAAAAGGACCCGTCACGAAAACCTACAAATATGATCCCACAAAACAGACGAGTCCCATTAATCCATCAGCCATAAGTGCTAAGAAGCGATAGTATTTTTGTTAAATATTTTCTGTTTTAGAGAATATACCAATCATTAAGCTAATCGACTAGTTTCATTTACCCACAGAAACATTCTACAGTACCAGTAGCATATTTTATTACTTTTAGCTTAACAAAGTCTTACACAATTCTCTGCCTGTACATGTCAAAGACGCTTATAGAAATATTAATGCCGCGAAACAGAGTTAGCAAGTATATACAAATCAGGGTAGGAATAGGTATTAAAAATAAATTAATATGTTTTAATATCTGCATGGAATTATAACCTAGGAAGGTAATGTATACATAATAAACAGCCGCTGCTAACCAAAACGCATTTCCATAGAACACGGCAAATGGTTGGCTCGTGCCGCTCTCTTGCATAAACAAATTATAGAAAATTAATAAGAAAAAGTGCAACAAAATCAAAGGTGGGAAAAATGCGTTTAGGTGAATATCGAAAGCAAAACCCCACTCGACATCTTGAGGCATATTTTTCGGCTTTAAAAACTTATTGGTGATGTACCATAGCGCCGTTGCAATAACAACACCTATTCCTATACAATCGATAAAAATTTCTATGACAAGGAATTTGGTAAATTGAAGAAAGCTATAATCGAGAGTGAGCGCAAAACCAATCGAGGTCAAGCACAGAGCACCAGCGAAAAGTATTAAGAAAGCTGGATCGTCACGTGCGTATTGAGACTTGAAATTTTTTCGCGCCCGGAACACTTTCGTCAGCTTCTGGGGAGCTGCTAACAGATAAAACATTTGCCACAATGCGAATTGAAAGTCCATCTGTTCAAATTTAAACAATCTCCTAAAATACCGATGGATTTTATGGTAGGCAGAGTTTATATCACTTTGCGATGATATTAATGAGGGATCCCTTTTGACCATTTTGATGATTACTAATTAACCTCGTTTTCTGCTTTCAATACACTGATTAATAATCTTGATTAAATGTGAGTTCTCTAGGGCAGCAGCCACTCGTTCCTTATCGGCCAGTTGCTTATTTACTTGACTTTCTGAGTTGTGAGTTCCAGGAGTAACTTCCACCTGAAAAAATGAGGGTTTTAACCGAAACTGAATAAATACAAATTTCAATGCTCATTACTTTAACTTTGAATCTGGAAGGCAGACACCTCAATAACTTCACTCTTATGGATAAGCCAATCAATGTAGCCATGCTACAATGAGGAATTGTGGGAGTGAAACTGACGTGGATGTAATTTTTTTCATTTTGAATAGTAATCAAATCTTGTTGCACGACATGAAGTTCTTCCAATGTTAAAGGGTGTTCTGGGTCATTGATGTTTCTAATTAAATCTGAAAATAAAGGCTCATAATACTTATTTTCTTTCCGTTTGTATGTAAAGAATGTGTGTCAAATTCAAGCTTAGTGAATGAAATCTAGTAGCTACTAATATTAGTTTTAAGTTTCATTTAGATATTAAAGGAAAAGGTTGATCTTTTGCAAATAATTTATGGGCATCTCTAAAAGGTTGTAATAAACCAATAAAACCCACGTTATTTGAACCTTTCCGAATAAGAGTTTGCCTTAAAATTGTACGTTCAAATAAAGGGAGCAACGAACACTAATTAAAATACCAATCAATAAAGTTATAAGAAAATCTTCACTACCTTAAAAGAAGTAATTTTTGTATAATATACCTACATAAACGGTCCTAAATTTATGGCAGCATTCCGTCAAAAGAATTTTCAATGTTTATTAATTTAGCTTTTCAGCCTTTATTCAACATTCAATATGTAAAAGTCCAATGTTTCATAAAAATCGCAAAAAAGCAGCAAAAAGACTGATGCCAGAGCCAATATTTAATTTAACATCAAACTATCTGATGCGTCGCATGATCGGGTTTGTTTATCTTTGGTTGAAAAAGTTGTTTTGTTTGCGACGATCTTCGAAACCCGTTGGAACGTTAAATTTGTCGTGGAAAATATTTCCGGATAAATTGGAACTTTCTACAATATTGTACACAATAAAAAACTGAAATTGAACAGCATAATAAAGCTATGACGCATTGAAGGGCCGATAAATAAAACGATTATATCACCATTTAAGTTCTGTAGCTCAATGCATTCCGAATCTTGTATCGCACGAGTTTTTTAGAAAAGCTGGGGAATTATTCAGTTTGTCACCAGCCGCGAAGGAAATAGATCGTCGGTTCTTTGTATCTGCCTGTATATAGATAACGATTTGGTGCCCCAATGCAAGTTCGGTAGATAATCGAGTCCGTTAACTGCAGGATTGACTGCCAGTTTTCAAATTGGAATGAACGGGCAGAAAATAGAGAATGGGCGCCAGTTTGGGGAAAACTGGTAAGAAAGATTTCTAATCAATAAATCATTTAGGTTGAACTGAAGTTAAGTTTTGGTTTATATATCGACATACAGTATTCAGTCCAATAGTGTTGCCAATATTTAACCGACGCAAAACGTTAAGGAAGTTTCAATTTTTCAGACATTGACTAGAGGTCCTCTATCATAAACTCTTTTAATATGAACTTTTAGTATGAATGTAAAATCAGTGCCGTTCTGTGAACTACACCTTTACGCCGCGTGAAGTATTTTGTATCAATTATTGGTTTACAGATAAAGTAAGGGTGTTTATCGGTGAACACACCTTGGACAGTCTTCGCGCTAAATATATTAACATTAGCATCTTTACGGTAAGTTAAACTGTATACCGTCTCCAAAGGTACAACTTGTTTACTTCTTTGTGGTGGTCTAGCTATGTCTCCTATAATTTAACACTAAACTCATTACTTTTAACAAACTTTTCGGAATAAGGAATTCAAGCTGCCAGCATCAGTTCGACTAATCTAGTTTTTACGTTCATGCTTAGAATATTTGCACCATTTTCTTGTTCTTAGCTTCTGCGGCCTTTTGGAGTGGTTGAAAGACTATTTTAGAGCTTTGGGACATATTCGAATACAACCTTCGTGACTTACAAATGTACTGTACAAATTTAAGTTGCTTAACTTATGGGCAGCCTAACTGCAACTCTAACTAACACACTATTCTGCACATTTTGTGTTTGTTATTGCTACACAGAAACTGTACGTACCAAATATTTCCCGTTGATCAAAAGGATCTACAATAGAGTCATCATATTCTTCCTCAGTCACACTTCTGTCTGCTGTTTTCACGTATAGTGTAGGATTTTGGTTTTCTAGTTCATCACCAAACGGCATACCTTTAGAGCAATTTGCAAAGAGGAAATTACTGAATTAAAAGATATGTTTTCCTCGAATCACCATACTCATCACATTGACTTGACAATTGACAACTAATTAATTAGTGACGGCGGTGACGGCTGAGCATGCTATTAGTGAGGTTATTTTCGTTTGCCCCACAATTTGACAATGTTGTGTTCAGGCCTCAAAATATATTTTCTAGAATTTGTCGGAATATTTCTTGATATTTCACGCCACTGCATTAGTGCCTTAACTTTACTACTTAAAATTAAATCTATTTAATTGCTTGCCTAGAATATTATAAGGAATTCAAATTCGATGAAGAAATAATTTTTAAATTTTTTAGTTCGATTGGCCAGCTTTTGACGGCAGCGTCATTTCCTACATAACCCAACTTCCAACTGAAGGTGGTCATTTCGTAAACTCATTTTCCTTAAATAATATCCAGATTTAATATTTAGTTATTATCTCGACATGTATGACTGTTGCAGAGAGTAATCTTGGCTGTAGATCGCCAATATGGCGCTGTCACTAGTTGTAAGGACATGTAGATTTAGTTTTTGCAGGTTTGCCCCTTCAAAGGCATTGACTTCATATCGGAGGTAAATTGCATAAACTTGTAGATAACAGGAGATCAAACGTAACTGCATAGATTGATTTTAATATATTGAACACTGGCAAGGCAAAGCTGGTGTTTGTATTGTTTTGGAGCCTAATAGTTTGCTTACAGCTATGGGAACAACACTCCAGCAAGAGATGCTCATAGAAAGTCTGTGTATAAAACCGAAGAGGCCAAAAGAATTCGTTTCTATATTCTTAATCGCTTCATTGAGTATTTGAAGAACTATGATAAAATTTTGGAGAAGAACTTTCCGACCACCATAAAAACATACAGGACATTCACTGATGGCATTAAAACCTTCAGTTTGGAAACTATAGAATATTTCAAAATAGTAATGTAGGTAATTACTACTAGGGATCCTACAGCCCAATTAAATACTGTATTGATGTTCACTTGAAGGATGCTGAATAGCAGTGGTGGTAGCTATGCGAAATTATTAAGAAGGGAAATCGAATTGTATCATCAGATGCCCAAAGACATGATGAAGGTTGCACCAGTTATAATATTTTCGGCGCTCCCTTTCGCTTTTTATGTTCTGCTACCACTGGTCTATACACTGCCAAAGCAGCTTCTAACTGCGCATTTTTGGACTCCTGATCAGCAAAACAAATTTCAAATAGAGTACTTTCGAGACAGGCTCGTGCATAATAAGCCCGTTTTCAGGTCAGAGACTCACTCACTCACTCAAATCTGCAGTGATTAATGTTTTTATCAATCATCCGGTATTGCAGGCACTTACAGTCTCAGTTGAACTACATTAAACACTACGGGAAAAACAAAACGCAATTCGAGAAATGGGCAAATATTTTAGGGCTGCTGGGCAGTGGGATTCAACCGACAGCCGAGGATATTTTGGCTTGTAAAGATTTATTTATGGACGAACCCTATCACTTGCTATATCTCAGCAGGAATCATGTTGTCAGTATACTGATCTAAGGGTTTGTCAAGGTTTCCAAATTTTACATTTCAGTTTCATCTTCTCAGAGTTCACAATCTGCATGCTGGATGGTTTCGTCGCACCAGGTTAGCGGATCGAGCGCAAGTTTTAATAGAAATGGATAAAGCCATTCTAAGAGAAGGAGGAGTACACAATTTGCCATTGAATGCGCTGAGCAAAGCCTGTTATATTAGAGGTAGGCTGCAAGTGGTTTAAGGGCCCATTCAATTAATTGTTGCAACACAAATTTTGGCTTTTCAGGGCTGAACCCGACTGATATATCATCTGATTACCAAGTTAAATGGCTAACGCAGTGGATAAAAGTTTCTAGTCAAGTCGACAAAGACAATTTGTCCTTGTTACTGCATTGCCCAATCCTGCTGGGATATAATGAACCATCAAACTGGGTGCTTGTTTACCCAAAAAAATAAGCACTCACTAAATGTTATCTGTGGTCAGTTAAAACCATAAGTACCTTATATTTGTATATAATAAACCGCCGAGATCCAGCTGTAATTAGAAAAAATTAGACGCTGGGTCTGTACTAGATTAGAATTTGCAAAATTAAATATTTGAATTGCCACAGGTTTCTTAAATACCCAGAACATTTTCAACCGAGAAACGTTTATTAGCCACACCGATAGCGTGACTAGATTAAAACAGCAAAATCTGAGCCTTAGATGTTAGAGAAGGACCACTACATATGACAGACTGGAGCATTAATACTGAAACCCGGAAGAATGAATTAAAATGGTTAAATATAAATAGTTCAGGAGGTGCTTTATTATAAAGATCCTAATGGTTATTCAGATAAGATTCAGTCTTTTGCATAAAAACCCCTTCATCTGTAAAATTTTTAAACTTCTAACTGCACTAAAATTGCAACCGATTTCACTTGTGAAATAATCATTCCACTTGTGAATTTTTTATAAATTGTCGGTAAATTTTATTCTGGTTGAGCATCTGGCAATCTTCAGAAACCACTAGGTATTTAATGTTTTCGGTCAGCTTTGAATCATCAAGTACAATTTAAATATACTCATGTGAAGCAAACTATTTTATTAGAACTCCGTTAATTGAGAAAAAAAACCATAAAATGCAATATTTGTTTAGATTAAAATAAAAGAACTATTTTTGGCTAATTTTTTATTACCACAAAACAAAAAATTAGTCAACACCTCAAAAAGCCCATTATTTTACAGCTTTTTTAGGCTTCACCACTTTTACCTTTTTGGGGTTTGGTTTGTCACCACCCTTGGCCATCTTCTTTTTGCCAAATAACGTCCCGTTTCGGGACGCCGCTTTCTTCAGAGCAAAGAACGTATAGGTTCTTATTTTGTTCCTGCGACTTCTTGCTCTCCTGAGCTTGAACCGATCGAAATCGGTTAAGGTAGCCCTCTGTAACAACCATATTCTGCTATAATACTATAACTAATGCTATTGGCTCTAAGCAAATAGAAGCAGTTAACATCAGAATAAATTTGGCTTCATTTATGTATCAGCCGGCAATTCCTATCGTAGCAAATGGTTCATCATTCAAACAGTTAAAAAGAATAAAATTACAACACATAATGTAATGGAATATAAATTGAATCAATTCAAGTTTTCCAAATACCTTAAATTTAAAAATGCAAGTTAAAGCAGCTTCAAGATTTCACTACTCACCTTTTCCTTAGCAGCCATTTTCTGAGCCCAAACAGTTTTCGAGAACTTCTCGACAACCTCACCCTCTTTCCATGCTTTCCTCACGACTCTTGTCGACGCTGTGAAGGGATACTTGATCCTGAATTTAGTTAAATGTAGTTGGTTTAACCTGATCTGTGATCTGGGAACATTGGTTTCAGGACCATCGATTAACACCTATAAAGAAATTGTATGCTTGTAATCACCGCATGCCAAACAAGATACGTTTAAATGTGTGATTTAATGTCAGAACTAAGTGGCTTCATATATGTATCAGTCGGCAATTCCTATCAAAGTTGTATCATCATTTTTGGAAATTTAACACCTTTCATAACCTGAATTTATACACACCCTGGTTTGGTCAATAACATCCACAATGCTGACGAGTTTTCCTTTGTTGGGGCCGTCGGAGACTACGGCCACTCTACCGGTTTCCACAAACCTTTCGAAGGCCTACAAATTAAAGAACACGCTTTAAAATACTGTATGGAAGCCATGTGGCGGTGGCGGTGGTGGCGACAAAAAGTCTCGTTTGATTCTGAATTAAGTTTCTTCAATGGTTGAATTCAGGTTCCTAATGGTAACATGCATTAAATCGAACACTGAAAACCGTTTTTACTGCATTAAAGTTTCTATTATTAGGGAAATTCTGAAGTGACTTCCTTACCATGTTGAACACGCGTTGCAAAGAATGATGTCAAGTCGAATTTGCGTCGACAGTTCGCCGGAAGTGATCAACCTGAAGTTTGACTTTTTAGGTTGTTAGAATAGTCAATCAACAGACTGTTTTTGCAAGAAAAAATATTGCAGAATTCAACTAGGGCTGGCAGGATTTTTTTGTTGCGCTTAATTCTCCTGTAGGGTTGTTATTTTTTCTGGTAAATTAATTTGTTCCAAAGAAGAACCCAAAAAGTATAAAGAATTTATCCGACTACGTACTTTTTTGGTTGGTGCCCCTAGAAATTTGACGTGCCATTATGGCCAATCAGCCAGAAGTTATCACCTCCGTTCGCTGCTTCCTTTTTCTAAACATGATGACCATGACTTGTCTTTGTCTATGTCATACGTCTATGTTTCTAACCAGGTCTAGGGTTTTATTGCGATTTGTGACAGATTTTTTGGTGACACAAAATAGCTGGCAAACTTACCAAATATTAAAACTCATAAAAAACAAAACTTGTAATCCAGGCCGTCAGAAGAACGCGATTTGCAATGGAAAACTATCCATGTACGTATATAAATCAGTATAATATGTAAAGTAGGTAATGAATCTGTAACTAGTTTTAGAAAATGGAAATTCTTCAAATAAGGGCCAATTTCCCGTTTCTCCGATATTCCCATTTACTCAGATGCGGATGCCTTATTCCAACAATCTTCCTTATGGAAATGTGCAATTTCCCAATGTTTCCCAAAAAGTATTAATCAATCCTCGCTTTCAGTCAAACAAAGTTTTTGTAAATCCAAATTTTCCTCGACCAGCTTCTAAAAAGCCATTTGGCACTTCTATTTACGTAAATCCTCGACCCAAAGCCGACATGAAACCTCAAACAGAATATAAATCGAGATTGATGTCGTCCAAATCTGAAAATGTTTCGGAAACTTTTAGACCTAATGCTCAAATTCACATTAATCCCAACGCCAAAGCACAGTCGATCTTTATTAATCCACGATTTACTGAAGCTCGTGCTCAACCAGAAACGGCTGTCTGTGCAACTAAGGAAAAACCGAGTTGTTTGCCTGCTTCGGCCACTAAGACTGTTTATTTGAGTAAAACCAAGCTAATTAGAGCAGCAAATACCCAGAGCAATAAGCTGGTGAAGAGAAGACATTCGGTAAAGTCAAAGTATAAAATTGTGAAATCAGAATTTTCACCTAAACCATTAACTTATACTAACTACGTTGCCTCGAAGACGAAGTTTAAGTTGAATAATACCAGCAGAAAGCCCTTGACTATGACTACATCAGAAAAGAAGCTATTTGTTAAGACACGCAGTGCTACGCGACGTAAAAAAGATTCGTTGGCTTTGGTAAATATTAGTGGAATCCTATTCAAGAAGTCCAGAAATTCCATCAGGAGAGCATCGATGTCTGGCGTTCAAAAGCATCAAGCAGCAAGGAAGACACTAGTTTTAAATACCAACTCCAAACTAGTTAAAAAAATGAAGGCTAAGCATTCCCCATACGTAGCTGGTAGGAGACATTCGGTTGTGGAAAAGTATAAAGTTATTAGGTATGTTTGGATGGTATTTTGAAGCACGCGTGAAACTTTTTTCTGATAGGAGAGACAGTCGTATAAAGAGTACCCCTCTGAAAATAGCTACGAAGAAATTAAGGAAATGTAATATTCCTTGCCCTACATACAGAAAATTCGGAGTTTGCAAACGAAAAGATAAAGGAAAATGTTCTTGGAAGCATAATCCCGACCAGATAGCTTTATGTACAAGGTAAAAGTGTGCAGCCAAGCTAATTACTTAATTTATTGTTGAAACTGCTATATTTTATAGGTTTTTACAAGGAGCGTGTATAAAAGAAAAATGCCTCCTATCCCATAATGTTTCTTCAGAGAAAATGCCCACCTGCAAGTACTATTTGGAGGGCACGTGTTCGAAGGATCTTTGCCCATACCTACACGTAAAAATCAACTCGAAGGCCGAAGTTTGTAGAGACTTTTTGGAAGGCTTTTGTAAAAAGGCAGCTCAGGTAAATATGACGGATATTCCATAAATCGTCTGTTAAATATACATTATGGATAAATACAAACTTCACAGTGCAATAAACGACATCAGTACTTATGTCCTGACTATGAAAAACATGGAACCTGTCTGAAGCAAAGGTGTGCATACCCGCATGGAAAAATGGTAAGATCTTACTGCCTAAATAAAAATAAATTTGTCAAAAAATGTTCTGAAGCCCAAAGTACCACTTCAAACAGTTTGGTGGTCAGCAAGACTGATTTGAAAGTGGAAACTAATACACAGCAATGTAATGATAAACGAAGGTACTATGTTGAAAATAGGGCAGGGGTAGATAATTGCAAAGAAAGTAGTGATGCAAAAGAATTTGAAAATGATATTGTTTTGAAAAATTTTGTTGGTTTAGAAGGGCGCCCCAAATTGGGCAGTTTGCCTTCTTTTATACTTTTGGAGACTGATACCTGAAGCTTAAAACAGATCAATTACCTATTACAGAATATTTCTTGGCAGGGTTTACACATATGTGATATTATCTACAAGATGAATAAAAACATTTAATTAATGGCATTGCTTTATTCACTTTCCTTGTAAAATTGCCAATCAACATTTCACCAGAGGTAAGTATTAACATACGGATCTGGAAGTTTGTAGGATTCGTTGAAGTGCTGAATACTTTATTATCCAATCCATTTAAAAATCTAAAGTCCCCTTCTTGTCTTTAACAGCGCCATCTGTCGAAAAAGTTGATATCTCCGGGTTTTCCCCTAGTAATTAAACAACATTTGTGTTCGAAGGTATGTTTTCTTGTATTTGCTACAATTTGCTGGATATTTGATTGGTTTTTTTAAAAATGAGTCACCATGTATTCGCTAGTTCAAAGGTCCAAGCGCTCCCTTGTGGCTAGAATGATAACTACAAGTTAACTAGTTAAAAAGTAGCATTATTAATATGATAGGAATATGATTATATCGAAATAGATTTAATTTTTTTATCAGAAAAAATGCTAATTGAGAAAACGTAAAAAATAAAAACTCAGCTCCTGCAGTTTTTTACATATTTACCTCAATTCTGGAAATATTTTTACGGCTTATAATATTTTCAAACTTGAGGTAAACATGTAAAAACTGCAAGCATTGAACAGAAAAGCAAAATAACATGACTGTTTAAATGTGTTTAAACTTCTATTTTTTGCCTTTTATTAACTGGAGTCTCGTCAATTACAAATCAGACCTTGCATATTATCATATTAATAAAGCTACTTTTTACATTTTTTTTGGATTTCGATCGGTGTAAATGTAATTCAAATGTGCTCTTTCACAACTAAAAACAACCAGAACCCACTAAAAATTTGGGGATTGAATATTATTCAAAAACTGAAATTTTCCATAAAAATATTGACTGGGAAAATGCACGAACTGCGTCGTTCGGCAGTTGTCATAGAAAGTGTCGATATCATGGCTTTCTTATTATAAAATAGAAAATCTCAGTGAGTGAAAAGTGGTGGAAACTGGCATTTTCACAGGAAATACCACTAGGGAAAGTTGTTAGAAATAGACGTATTTATAAGGTGAGCATATTGTTAACTTAGAACGCGAGGGCCTGATCAATGCCATTTAATGAAAAGTCGAAAACGAAATAAGAATTATTTTCGTACCATTTATAAATATAATTAAGAGCTGCTGGCAACCCAGTACGGTCCACACGCTGCAAACTTCGTATCTTTGCTTCATCTTCATCCACAGATCACCGAGTAACATCTGTGATCTGTGGTCTTTATTTATGGTCCAGCTGTGGGTCCAGCTGATTGCCAAAATAGATTGAGTTGAAGTATTTGTTTTGATTCACGAATGGTCCGAGAATAAAATTCTCCCAAGTGCTTTTTCGATTGAATATGATGTGAATGTAGTGCATTAAAACGTAGTTAATACATTCAAAGGTGCAATGTCTCAAGCAAGCTATTCGATTCTTCATCTACCAGAAGTGGCATTGGACAAGGTGTTTTCGTTCCTGTCTTTTGATGAAATCGCCAAGAACAGAATCGTAAGTATTTACATTCCATTCCATTAGATACTGATTTACTGGTTGGTCGGCACGTTGGGCTTTCGTTAGGCCACCTTGTCTCCAATAAATTCCCTTTGAATTTTTTCTCATATTGGGCGTTGGTATCACTGATGACTGCGGCATAACCTATTAATTCATAGTCGAGGTTTTTCGTTGCCGCCAAGTGTATCTAGATTTAATAACTATTATCGAGAAATATTAGTAATTTAAACTGATTTGCACGATTTTTCAATCGGTCGTGTCATGGAAGACAGTGATGATCTATTAGATTCGCTGTTAGCAGCAGCCGACGCACAACTAGACGAGTTAAGCAAACAAACCCCAATATTAAGTGCTCCGCCCATTGAAACCAACTCTTGCAAGACTCTCAAAGATGCTGATATATTCGGATTCGAATCTAACTTGAAGCTGCAACCAAAATCAGCAAAGGACACTTTCGAAAGTGCGGTACATGGTGGTGATACGGACTCGTCTGACGATGAAGGAAACAGAAACTATGAAGACCAAAAATACAATGAATGTGGGCGACAAATGAAAGGCCTGTTGAGGCCAAGTGATTCTGATCATTCAACTTCTAGCAACCTTTCGGGTGGTCCGAAAAAACGCATCTCCAACTGGACCACCAGGCCTAGCACTGTAGCCCGTCACAAACCCGCTATTGCTATAACCAAAACTGCAGCGTCCACAAAGTCTGAACATCGAGATGTGTATATGGATCCGATTTTTCATATGAGAATAATAAACCCGAAGATTTCCTCCAGCCTACTCCAGGAGAGAATGCAAGGGCGGGTTGCTGTTCGGTTTGCTGATTTAAGTAGGCAGATTTTGGCTGGCAATTTGAAAGGCAAGGATTGGGTGCTTTGTGGGGTGCTAGTGCACAAGTCGCCCCCGAAAACCTCCCAAAAGGGCAGCCAGTATTCCATCTGGACTGTGACTGATCTTAAAGATGATATTAAAACTGTTGGCTTGTTTATGTTTAACAGTGCACATTCAGAGCTGTGGAAAACTCTTGTTGGTACAGTGGTTGGAGTTTTGAATCCTACGGTTATGGAGAGAAGGGACAACTCCAAAGATGTGGTAAGTATCTGGTTGTAAACAATTCAGACTTGATCAGATGTGTATATTGAAACCTCAAGAACATAATATAGAAGAGATTCAATCAACCCTAGGGCAAGTTGAGAGTCTATTTCTTTTTTCTTAGGAGCAAAGTTAATTTACTCTTGGTTTTAGAAGTACATCGGGCTTCTAATCTTTACGAACTTTCAAAAATAATTCATATTCTACGGCTCACGTTTCATAGAGACAGTCTTTAAATACCCTCGCGTTTTAAACACTGTTGGTGCTCTTGTCGTTTTTGGTTAAAGTGGTAAAGCCTTCAAAGAACGTATTCTAAACTCTCGAAGAGTAAAGACTTGGCAATTTTAAGAACACAGCTAATGATTGACGACCGTTTTAAACGGGCCTCTAAACGTTAAAATCTGTGTTAATTTATAACTTTCAACAGGGTAATAATACTCATATAACTTCAACAGAACAAACAATCATCTAAACAACTAATTAAACAGTATTCTATCACTAAAGTAGAGTAATCTTAAATACATTCTAAGTAAGACTTGATTGCACATTTAATGTCTTCTGCAATTTTCAGGCTTGCTTAAGTATAGATACAAGCCAAAAAGTCATGATATTTGGAGACTCAAAAGACTTCGGAATGTGCAAAAGTACCAAGAAGAGTGGTGAGAAATGTACATCAGTGGTGAATTTAAGCGACAGCGAGTTTTGTATCTATCATATTAAACAAGAGTATCAGAAATGTAGTAAACGATCAGAATTGCAAGCCAACTTTGCCGGAAATGGTCTGATCAATCTTCGTAACAAAGTTCTGGGCAAAAATGAGGTTTTCTATGCGGGAAAGTCGTATATGGCAATACCAGCGAAGAAAAGTAAAAAGTTGGTAACGAGAGATAATAACATTTTGCAGAATCTGAATGGGACTAGCACCACTGGTGCTAAATACAAGACTGCAAAACCTAAAGTTAAAGGAGCAGCTAGGCGTTTAGACGTGAATCCAGCTGAAAGAGCCAGAGACTTAGAACTTCTGAAAAAATTGGGAGGCTCGAGTCTGGAAGCCAAAACCAACTTTTGCGGTATAAGATCCGATGATATTTCCATGGAGACTTCCAAAGCAACAGCCTTGAATGTTATAAGTAAGCTGAAAGCTAAAAATAAGGAAGTGGCTTCAGTGAACACAGTTACAACTAAAAACGGCCAATACGACTTGAAGGGGGACTTATATGTAAATGTGGATAACAAACGATCGTTTTCCGGCAAGGCTTCGAATCAAGTCTCGCTGGAGGACAGCAAAAAGGCTGCTCTATCAGTCATTAGCAAATTTAAGGGAAAAAACGGTGATCCTCCTAGTGCCAATCAGCTAGAAGCCGGTGAAAGCCAAATAACACTGGAGGAATTTGAAGCAGAGTTGGATTATAGTGATAACGAAGATATAGGAGCAACTGAAAAGGTAAAGAGCGTGGAGGAGGTACAGGAACCAACGAAAACTAAAAGTGAAACTGTTCAAAAAAGCTCCATTCAATCTCCAAGCTCCAGAGGATCAAAATCTAGTAGCACGTCAATGCATGTACAAGCCAAAAACTCTTCTCATTTATCTAGCTCAAAGGGTAATTCCTCGAGTAAATTTCCATTAGTCGACAAATCACCGATTGTTACACCAAAAAAATCATTTACAGTTGGATCTGCTTTAGACAGTATGACAATGGGTGTGCCGATGCTGTCGGGACCCGCAAGAGGCGATTTTATTGACCTAAGTAAGCCCATAACATCAAGACATGTCGATCGAGCAAAATTGAATGCCTTGAAATTCATTCAACGAAACGGACCAATCAAAAAAATCGACCCGAACAATACGAAGACCACTGGATCTCTAAAGAGAAGCATAGAAAATGTTCTTGTTGATCCACAGAAACAGCATGCTGCTAAAAGGTCGAAACTCCAAGAAAGCGAATTTATATCAGATCGATTTAAAAAAATGATGGCGATGACGTCGAAACACGCGGATTTGTTAGACATACGAGACGACGAGGAAAAAGAAAAATACTTCAATAAATTAGAAATTAAAGAAAAAATGGAGGACAAAATGGCCAATACACACAAAGTAAAATGCAAAGCTGTAAAATGCTTGAAGTGCAAATACACCAGCTTTTCAGCATCGGATTTGTGCAAGAGTGAGCACCATCCACTCAAGGTAACACTGATAAGACCATGAAAAAATGCATATTATTGTGATAAATATTTCTTTGTAGGTATTTGACGCAATGAAGAGATTCTATCAATGTGGAAACTGTAAAAATAGAACGGTTACATTAGAGCTGGTTCCCACCAAGCCTTGTAACAATTGTGGAAGCTCGAAGTGGGAGAAAACCGGCATGATGAAGGAGAAGATCGCCGTTGTTCAACATAATCTATCTATTCGAGGCGGAGAGCAGAAGTTTTTAAATTCTGTCGTTGCAGATGCTAATGTAAACCTGATGGTACCTGATGATGGTGCCTAAAGATTTTGTGATACCATAAAGGATTTTGTTTGAGGAAACCTTAATATTTATTTTAGGAGAATTGGGAAATTTTTTGTTAGCAAACGGCGACTATTATTAGGACGTAAACATTTTTAAGATCACCTTATTTCTGCATTTTTAGGGCATTATAAGGTTATTTTAAAAACGATTTTTTGTTGATTATCCATCTGCTGGTTAAGCTTGTAATGAATGTGCCTTAATTTATGTTTTTGCAATGTTTACTGATACTTAAGGGTTGTTATATTATTAGTGACTTTTTCGACGTGTTTTTTAACACAATAATAAAGCATACTTTTGGAAAATGGTGTTTAAACATTGCTTTCCTTTTTTAGCCTTCTATATAAACTTACGTGAATCCACTATGAAAGAAATGTGTTGATTTGTTTCAACTTTTGGCCTGCATTCTCATTTAGGGCGCAAATAGTTGCTTTTCAGGTTGGCGGCTTGTAGAAGGTAGAAAACATTATAACCACTCTTATTTGAGTTGCTTCGTAATATTCTAAAACTGTTCTCTTTAGGTCTGTAAAAAATTCAACGGAATCGGAAGCAAACTTCTTTCCAGGGGATTCATCCAATTAGAGCGGCGTCATGCGGCTATTTACAGGCGAGTTAAAACGTCCTTACCCAGGCGAGAGTCTGAGCGAAAAACGCACCCATTGGCTCGACACAATGAAATCCTGCAGGGTGTTGAAACCAGATTAAGCATGCTCAACATGACTTACTTGCGATACATTGAACATCAAATCATGTGTTTTATACCAGGAAAAGTAAGTTTTATGGATTTAATGTCAATATTTCAGAGTAGGTATCTTACGTTATTGTGCAAACATCGTTAAAATGCAAATGATTTATTTTCCAGTGGGAGTAAGCTAATAGAAGTACAGACAATAGACTGAATTGACACAAGAGAATACACTTCTCTGAGCTATACAGACACGCTTGCATACTGTGTTGGCCTTGATAGATGATTTTTTCAATCCCCATAAACCTCTTTTTCTTCACAAGATATCTATCTTAACAACTATCTACTTATAAACATTCTCAAGTTTTTCACAGTATCATAGTTCCCTGTTGAAGAACCATCCATAGAAGAAATTCGAAAGGCAGTAAAAAAATTAAAAAGCTCAGAGGCTCCTGGATTGGATAACATCCCATCAGAACTATTAAAGTACGGAGGTGAATCGTTACACAAACAATTACACCAACTAATTATGTTGATATGGAAAGAGGGGACAATACCAAATTCAGGAAATTTAGATCCGCTTTTGACCAACTTTTTACACTCAGGAAATTACTAGAGAAAGGATGGGAGTTCAACCGTACTGTCCATAATCTATTCATAGATTTTCGGCAAACTTACGACAGCATTGAAAGATCCCAAGTGTGGAATGCAATGGCCGCATTCGCAATTCCAAGAAAACTCATTCAGATGACGAAGACATGTATGGAAGACGGAAAACCCAGAGTGCGAATAAATATCAGGCTCTGATATGCGATTAAAGATACCTTTTACTGTTGGTGTGGAGTCTCAAATGATGTCAATGTCGTCTGCATATGCTAACGAAAATTTCGGGCCTCCCGCAGTCAGGAGTTCTGTTTGAATTTTTCCTCACCGCTTAGCTTTTTCTAGGGCGATATTAAAGAGTATAGACGACAAAGCATATCTCTGTTTAATACACTACTAAGGTTTTAAGATACGTAGTGTATTAAACAGAGATATGCTTTGCCGTCTATACTCTTTAATATCGGCCTAGAAAAAGGTACGCGGTGAGCAGAAATTCAAACAGAACTCCTGACTGCGGGAGGCCCAAAATTTTCATTAGCATATGCAGACGACATTGACATCATTGGAGACTCCACACTAACAGTAAAAGGTATCTTTAATCGCATAGAAAAGGCTCCAAGAGAAGTAGGACTCAATATTAACGAGGAAAAGGCAAAATATACGTGCATAAGCAGACAGGGCGCAGATATAGAATAGATCAGAATATAACAATGGACACTTATTATTTTGAACGAGTGGAGCGGTTCAAACGTCTAGGAGCTACAATTACAGCCGATAACGATGTCCCAGATAAAAGGCAGAATTCCAGCCGCAAATCGTAGTCTCTTCTCTCTAAACAAGTCCAAAAGCATCTCAAGAACCCCAAGAAGGCCAATGAGGAAAAACTTGGGAGTTTTGAAAGAAACTGTTGGTCCCCACCACGACTTTAATAGCAACCAGTATCGCATCAGGACAAACACCGAGATTAATGAGCTTTATGGCGACGGGGATTTTGTCAAAGAAATCAAATCCCAGCGCCTAAGATGGTACAGGCATACGATAGTACATTCTATAAACACATAGACTACGAGCTAATAGATAGACAACATCAAAGCAGATCTCACGAAAATGAATACCTCTTTGGACACGAATCTTTTGAGACCCACCCTGGGTTGTAGAACTGCCTTATATTGTATTGTAATAGAGGTTTTAACAACGTTTGTTATAAACAGATCCATAGATAAGTTTTTATCGCATCACCTTTTTATACTGCACTTTATGGTCCTTACATAACACTGTAAGTGATACAGTGTATTTGTTTAAGGTTTTGGATGAAATAAAGTGTATTCTTAATGTGGTAGAAACAAGTCAATCGCCGCCAAGACCTCTGCAACTTTTACAAGAATTGAGGGATTTGAGCAGCATGGCGATTGAGCACTTTGACGAGCATATTTTGCCTAGATGTAGAGAGAAATTGGAACAGCAATCAGGTATCTTACTTATTTCATCCGGTTTCTTGTCGAACAGTCGTAACAGTAGTAATATCGAACTAATAAGGTAATAGTTTGGTAAAATCAAAGTGCAAGTAACAATCTAGCTGCTAGACATTCTAACCGAAGGAACATTATTCCAGATTAACTCTCTTTTATTCCAGGTTCACCGGAAAATATACTAAGAGAACTGGAGGTTGTTGCCGGTTCACTTACACCTTTCACGAAATTACAAGGTATATAAAACGTCTCCAGAATGTTTTTTGTCTCTGGGGCATTCTAGAGCTTTTTATATACTACGTTCTACGACCATTGACTGGTCTACCAGTAGATTGGTTTTTTAGCTAAACCGCTACAGGTCAATTTGAACGTATTGTAGGGAAAAATAATTAATTCAACTTGGCAAATGTCTTTTGAAGAAGGCACACATAATTCGACATCTTAATGTGCCTCAAAAACCTCTAATAAAATCCTTCACTGTAAATGTTTCCACATGCCTCAATACTCTCCATGTAAAATTAGCAGTGCTCGAAATTTATTCGGCCTTTTACTTCCAGTTTCACGCCATATTCATCTTTGCTAACATTCCGAAGTATTAACAAATTATGTTGAAAAGTGTAATCCGTATGCCTTATTTTCTAGGATTTCCATACCAACATTTGACATCCAAGTTGAAACCATCCACAAAATTGCTGGTTGAACAGCAGTTGCCCAACGGTTTAACTGCCGAGCTGCACAAAATGAAAAAAATTGCCAAAACCCACAAGCATCACATTTCCTACCTGACCCAAAACACTCAAAAACTTGGCCTGAAGGTAAGCTGATGGTTATTAGTAGAATATTTAGGCCTTAAGAAATTTAATTAATAAATATATACCTAAAACCACATCAATCTCTCCAGCTTCGAAAACAGAACAATAAATTGCGAATCCAGGCGGGCAAACTTCGCGAACAAGAACGCAAGCTTCAAGAGCAAACCGCAAAAATAATGGGACAGGAAGAAGCATTAAACGAAGTGAAGAAACACATGGAGGAATGGGAGCACAAATATAAAGATCTGACAGCTGAATTAGTGCGAGCGCGTGATGAAATATTGCTAAAAACTTCAAATAACAGCAACAGTTCACAGAATTTGACTGACCCAAGTGTTAGTCACAACCAGTACAAATCTAACATTAAACCGAGAGTGGCTCACATTCTTCCAAAGCATTATTTGGGCATCGACTTGGAAAGAAAGCGCAAATCGTCGATTAATCTGGAGATTCCATTAAAGCGAAGTCGAAGTCCCACCGTTCCTAGTTCATCTACTCAGAAAGTCGGAACAAGGATTAAAGACTTGTGCCTCGATATACCGGATCTAGTAAAATTCGAAACAAATAAGCCGAATAAAGCTAATAATGCGGAAGCCGATGCAGATAATGATGAAGCCAATACTCGCAATAAAACTTTCATTTCATCGTTTTTCAACAACCTGCTAACTAACTCGCCAATACCCAATATGCCTCGAAAGAGGAAAATGACCGAGACTGTTTCGCATGGCGATGAAAAATTAAGCAAGGACAAGTAATTTTTAAATGCAAGTAGTTAATCACTTCTTACTTGGTATAAGGTTTCACCGATTACGGTGACAATTCAACTAACATAACTGTTCCATATAAACGTTGAGCGGATTTGAATTATTAAAGTATTTTTTGAAACGTTTCGAACGTGTGTTCAAAATTTTGCATGATATTTTTGCTTTGTTATCGAGAAATGGAGGGATTGTCTATTGGGCATCGTGCAATCGCAACATTACGTGTATATCTGTGAACGGAAAAGATAGATACATATTTTGTAACTTATACTACTTTTGCCTTTTGAGAATCACCCCCAAGTTAATCACGAATGCCTAGAAAAACCGTGTAATAGACGCACGGTCATTTAACTTTTTTATTTAGATTCACATGCTATCTTGATGCACCCGATGAGACATTTCGTTTAAATGTTCGGGCGCATCTTAGTAGGAATTTAATTTTATTAACATCTCTAATTATAAGTTGTGTTACATAAAATATTTATGACATGAAGTGCTGATTTGTTTTAGTGTAAAGATGCGACGTAAAATAACTACTAGTGAAACCCATTTTCCCCAAATTTTAATTTAGCTCTGGAAACAAATTGTATTTCACATTCTTTTTTTATTGACAAATATATTACGTCTCATAGAATAGCGTTTAGTTTACCTAAGTAAGTACATTCTTAATAAATTAAATAGAGTAGATATTTATGTTGTGATGTATAAGTAATAAACAATAATTTTTCTTAATAAAGGTTTTATTTATACACAAACCATTTAAATAATGTTGAAACATTGTCTAATTTTAGTCACTAAAATAAATATGAAGCACGTGGGTACATGAATGGTATGTGTTGCAGACCTTGTATTTTGAGAGAACTAGTCATTACCTATAGCAAATATTAACAAGTGGGAAATAAGTACATGATTTTACGTAAAGTTTACCAAGTATATGGTTTTGTAAAACACGTACTTATTCTTATACATGTCAACACCTACTGTTTGGCCGACCAGCAGCATCACAAGCAGTCTGTAACAATTGCATTCGGGTCAATTTTATTTTAAATTATTCCATTATCAAAATATAAGATTTATACCAAACAAATTATTATGTTGTATAAATTAAAAAATGAAAATAAGTATATCGTGTACGTGTAGTTCGTACACTCATTGATTCTCTAGCCAAAAACTTTCCTATAAAAGCTGGTTAACAGAATTGGAGTACAGATAAATTGCACCAGCAACATTCAATATATGATACCTACCGCCAACACAAGCAACAACTTTCTGACACTTAAATAATTTCCACTAAATTTAAACAGTACTTAAATCATTCTCACATTCATGTGCTCCGGAGATATCACAATAGTCACTAACTTTTCTGAGTTCCACTAGCTTCTTGATCTTTGCATTTTGATACATGTTTTAGGATCCAGGGATGCTTCAGAACTAAATGTAAATCTAGTCTATGTTCGGGTTTTACTACTAACAGTCTTTTAATTAAGTCAAGAGCCTCAGCTGAAAAATATGGGGGCACGCCAAAAATGGCTCTGCTAATTTTTCTGTAGGTGTCATTATGATCTGGAGACTCAAATGGGGGCTTTCCAGATAAAAATTCGTAGCATAGCACTCCCAGAGCCCACAGATCTACCTTTTCATCGTGCGCTTTACCGGTAATCTACAAAAAAGTATTCTTTTTTGTTAGAGCGTACGATGAACGTTTTTTTAGACTTACCATTTCAGGTGGTAAATAGTCCAAAGTTCCACAGAGTGTGGTACGTCGTGAACTGGGAGCATGTACAGACCAACCAAAATCGGCTATTTTAATTTCTCCATTGGCCCCTAATAGCAGGTTTTCCGGTTTAATATCCCGATGAATTACTTTTCGTTTATGGCAGTAGAGGAGGGCATCAGCGATTTGAGCCACATAATTCGCACAAACCTCTTCTGGAAACCTCTTGTTCGGCAACTTCATTAATGTTGAATACACCGCTCCTGGAAAAACCGTGGCAATGCATTTTGAGGTAATTTAAATACGGGTTTTTTTGTACCTTTTGGTGCGTATTCTAAAATTAAATACACTCTGCTCTCATCGTGAAAATAGCCGTACATTCGCAAAATGTTAGGATGTCGTAAGTGAGTCTGAATTTCCACTTCACGTCGTACTTGGTGCTCGTTGTTAAATTCTTTGATGTCATTTTTAAATAACACTTTCAGTGCTACAATAAATTTGGATTTTTTCTCTCTTGCGAGATACACGTTTCCAAATTTTCCTTTGCCTAGTGGTCTACCTGCAATAGATTAATCGGGATGAGCTGGTGTATAATGAATATTTATATTTTGAGCTAATTGCAATTAAGTGAGTTAGCTCTTGAACTTGAGCAAATCTGTTCTGATGTGCATATAGCTAACCTGTAAGTGTAGCGAATTTTTTAAAAGCTTGAAAGCAAATTGTAACACTCAACTTATCACAAATTTGTTTTTGGACAATTCTGAAAAAGCGGAATAACAGAAGGATCAAGGAATTTTGTTCCAGAACAATTTTTCCTTTTACATGTTTGTTTAATTTCCAACTTTTATACAAACATGGTACATTATCGCTTAGGCTAAAGCGATAGACTTACAAAAATTAATTAAAATTATTGCTTGCCCAAAAATCGTGCTCATAAAATTTCGTGCAGTTATTGTACATTGAACAATGCAATAAGTTCAAGCAAAGAGTAGAATAAGAAAACCAGAATCGATTAGTTTCCGAAACATTCTTGATTTTTTAAGAAACACTAAAACTAGTTTATTTACGCCTCGGCCATTGACGTTTTTTTACTATTTTCATTGATCAATTTTTTGGCGCAATTCCATGCAGAAGAATGCAAAATTGCAAAAATAGGGGATATTGTAAGGAAATAATCACCAGATATTTTTTCCAGTAACTTTTGCAGACACGAAGCAAATGAAATTAAACTTTAATTGCTTTGTTTTCAAGAATGTCGTTTGAAATTAATAGAATAACAAACATGCATTAAAGCTGCAGCACCAAAAGTGCGCTAGAACTATTTTTTAGAGCTCGTTAAATGAATTATTATAATTACGTATGTTAAATACAAACAAAAATTTAAAAAATTAAAGGAAATAATCAAATGGGCGAGTAACGCTATACAAGTCATCGTCGCAAGACTGTATATAAGTCATATGAAAACCATTTAATAAGTAACGGGGCCAATTTAATATTTCTTTAAATTATTAGTCACGTATGCAATAATTGCACTTAGATAAAGCTTATGCTATATTTTATGATTTTATGAATTAATTTTTCAACTACTTGAGTTTGTTGATAGAATGAATAGTTCTTTCTGTATACAAACGACTTTCTATTCTCATCACGCTGGTACAATCAAACATGTAGTTAAAAACGTGTAAATGTCGGAAATTTGCTAAAAATAACCCAGCAACGAAGACCAATGAAAAACGTTAGTGTATTTTTCCTGTTGAATCGCTAAAGGCTGTAGCAAATTAGCATGTAAAAACTGTAGGCTTATTTCTGCCAAAACACATAACGTGTAGATGTAAAGCTTACTTGGACCGGACGCATTGTGCCCAATTCGATTATTTTTTTTAAAAACCTCGATAGATAATTGCAATAATTTAAATCTCGCTTGTCCTTAGAACCGCAAGGGGCTATTACATACATTATCATATAAAGACCACTTTGCTTGCACAACGATCTCCAGTTACTTACCTATATCGAAATCAGTCAATGCCCATTTGAATTTCGTCTCTTCAGGCTTCTTTCCAGCTTCTCCAGATACTGTTGGTTTACTGTTTTCCACATTTTCCTTGTTTTCATGGTTTAATGGGGCTCCTTTATCCGGTTGGGATGGAGTGTTGGCACAGGTCTTTACGATTTTGGGTTTAATTGGTTTGGAAACTTCCTCTTGGTTTCCCTGCAACTTCCCGGATGAAACAGAAGTCATGATGAACTTTAAAGTGAAAGCGATAATTTGAAATCTTTGCAGCTGAACACAATATGCGAAATCATATGGCGAACAGGCATTTAAACTTAGTGTCAACGGTTTTTCGGGGTTATTGACAGATCACGTTCGCGTGAAGAAATCCCTGTAGCTAGAAAAAGATGGCAGAAGGTAATTTATCTTTATTTTGTTGATGTATTGAACACAGACAGAAACACCAGGCAGGTGGTCTGTGAGACAGACTCTGAACACAACATACAGATTATATAATCTTTATGCTGTGCTCTGAATGTAACTTCATTGCACGAGACTGCCCAGGCCTTGATGTATTGAAAAAGGCCAAAATAGGAATTTACGTGATCGGATCGCTTCGAAAGTATGAAAAGATTGTCAAAACAATTGCAATCGCTTTTAAAAGTTAGGTTGTGAGTTTTGGCCCCAATTATTTAAAAGTTGTTTGTAGGGCTTGCAACTGCAAAGTACTTTATTTAATGCAAATATTCAAAGTTTAGCTTCCAGAAAGTTTTCAATCTGGATCTAATATACTGAGGTATTACACCCCAGAAAACTCCCAAATGTTCCTTTTTAGTGACAGGGCTGTTTGTTTACTTCATCAAAATACATGTTTTTAAAAGGATATTATCAAATATTCACCAGCTAATTCTACAATAGGTAAGCGATATACATATCTTGTTACTTTGAAGAGAATGACAATCTACTTTAGTTTTGTTAGTAGGTATTTAACTAACTTTCAAGTAGCAGCCCTTTTTTGCATTGATATCTTTAGATAGTCAGAACTAGGTACATAAGAAGTTAAAAATCTTATCATAGTGATATGTTCTTCTATCAAAGCTCGTGGAAATCTTTTAAACTAAAAACTAAACCCAAATGCAAATAAAATTTTGTAAACAGAACTTCGCTGTGGACGCAGATTGAACGCAAAAAATTCATTTCAATGTAGATAGACAGACCCGTTTTATTGTTATATAACAGTAGAGTGAGAGTCTATAAACGATTAGTTAAATCGAGACCCAACTGCAATCCATGGCTGATGGATAAATCGGGGCATACTGATGGCCAATAGAAGGCAATGATCTAGCGTTTTTCTTTTCTGGAACGTTGTACCAGAGGCAAGGGATAGTCTCTCTCCTCTCTCCCTTGCCTCTGTGTTGGGTTTTTCTTCAGACCGGATTATGACTGAGTGACTGAGGATTATACTGAGGATTCCCCCAACACCAACACCAATCTCCATAGATAAAGACAAGTATCCAATCTCTTCAAAGATGTCGTGAAGTGAGGGCCAAGTTGTCTATAGTACTCAAGTCTCAAAATTTCTATAATTCGTCTTCTAAAATTAGTGAAGAAGATCCTATCGTGGGTTTCGATGAGAAACCTGTCCTCTGTCCTACCCTGTATAGGAGGAATAAATAGTTATACTCTTTGGTAGGAACTTGCACTTTAAGTAAACCATCAAAGTCGCACATAAAAGTTAATTGGAAATATTTTGAAAGCGATATTAACAGTTTGGAAGTGCATTGATATCATTAAGTACGTTTTTAGGATCGCTATCACCTCGCCCCAAATCGCGATTAAATTTGATCGGCGGGATTTTTTTGTCATCAGGTTTTACTGGAATGGCGTTTTTTAAGGACATACTCGTATTGTTTATGGCAAGGTATTTAATTTAATTAAAAATAAATAAAAAACACATTTTTTGAAGCGAGTCTCGGAAAAGAACAGTATCGGAATCAAACACTATTTGAATATATGCACATTAAAAAAATAAAGTTAATTTCTTTAATCAAGAAAGTTATAGAAGACTAGTTAATTCAAGTGAGTAATGATGAAGGTATTCTGTGCAGCAGATCAAGTTTAAAACCGTGATTTTTCAATCCTTTTAAAATCTAGCCAGTTCTGAAGTCATGTGCAAAGTATTTAAAGTGGGATTTCCATGTTATGTATCTGACAAAGAACATAAGAAAACTAATCTATAGATTTTACACTTTAAGGGAAATACTGAGCCGAAAACTGCAGATTTCTGTGTATAAAACCATTGTAGAATCCATACTTAGATACGGCATTGTGGTATGGGGTGGCCTGTACAACAAATCCCTTAAACCCTTGAATATTGTTTATAATTATATTATCAAAGTAATTTTTAAGAAGAACAAGCTCTATTCGACGAGACTTTTGTATTCTTATGAAATATTTGATGTTCGTTCGATTTACATTTTGGAAGTATGTTCCTTTGTATTTAAGAATAAACAAATTAACATGACTGTAAATCATACCCTTGAGACTAGAGCTAGAGAAGATAAAAAGTTAAAGATTCCAAATAGTTATACGGATTTAAATTTACGATTTATCAATTACTTGGCTCCAAAGATCTTGTATATTTTACCATTAGAAATTAAATGTATTAGTAAGCTTAGTGCATATAGGAAATAATGTAGGCTGTATATCTACAATAATTTGGAAAAATGTACACTATTATTTTGACCAAAACAGTAAGAAGAAAATATAAATACTTAGGTAGCATATACATATACGAAAGATCTAGATTAATGAATAATAAGCACGTATGGATGTTCAGTCATCTAGGTGCCGTCATACTCGTTTTTATATCTGCTTACAATGTTCTACAGAGTGTATTAAATAATGTGTTTTCTGACAAATAAATATTATTATTATTATTATTATGTGCCCTTAGTGATTTATTAAAAAACGTTCCAAATTACAGGCCTGTTGAAAAATTCAAATTCAGTAAACTAGTCACTGGTACTTTTTCTTCATGGGCTACTTGCAGGTATTTTTCAATCGTTTTACTTGTTTTTTACGTATACACTTTGTAAACAAGATTTATTGTTTGCTATGAAAAATATTTCACA